TTGCCTCTGTGCATGAAAATTTTTTCAGTTACCTTTGAAATTCAACACTAAACTAGAACATGTCTCAGTATGTAACAGTTTATTTCAATTTTTCATAGAACGTGGTGTGACCTTTTACATCTTCAAAATCAGTTCCTCATTTCATAGTGGTGCTTTCCTACTCTGTGAATATATTTTTCTGTCCCATTTGTTGAATACTTGACAGCAGAAATAACGTTATACTTGTAGCATATTCTTTCTGTCCTCTATATCTTCCTAAACAACTTAATATAAATTGTCATTTTTCCCAACCACATTCCAAATAATAAACTCATGCTTGTCTTTTGTAGTATTTATTTGGGATTTGCCTTTATATTTGTAAATACACTCTTCCCAATTCACTTTGTTTGGTTAATAGTATATGTTTGTTCCTTAATTTGTGTTTGTAATTTAGAAATGTCATTCTCTATTTTCTTACGGTACTCTTGAACTACTGGAATAAGCCCTTGTTAAGTTCTAAGATGGGAGGTACTCCCACAGACAGAGTTGTTTTTTTCCTAGCAAACAATGCTATTCCTCATCTATTGGCAGCTATATTTCCTTCCTCCTATTCTTTCATAACATTTCCCATAGATGTCATGCAATTGTAACTACAAGCGAGGTTGTGAACAATGAATGTTAAAGAACACACACACAAACCTCTGTAGTAAGATCTCACTGCATTGTAGGTGACTGCATCCCATATCAAGGCATAGCAGACGACATTGAAGTTCTATATGACTGTTATTTTTATAATGAATATATTAAAAATGTGAGCCCCGATGGGTTTTCCCACCTCTCTAAGGTCTTCAGATTCCATCATACATTAAAAGGCTTTGGTACTGTCTCTGTCCATCAGTTCTCTGTCCATTATTATCTCTGCTGCTTCTCTCTCTCTCTCTCTCTCTCTGTGTGTGTGTGTGTGTGTGTATTACTTGCTCCACCCTTCCTTCTACCTACTTGCATATTTATTCACATATCCATTCCCACAAATCTCCAGTACATGGTACATGATTGACAATTCATGGGTTGTTTCTTGATTGATCATATTCCTCTTTACTACTTTGTACTTGGATACCAGTGCTAGATACTCCATCAAGACAAACTTCCAGAAGACTACAAGCTGGTTCTTTGGCTTTCATGTTATAGCAACAGTGGTATGAAATTGAAGCCATTTGCTTGTTTTATTTCTGTTGGTACATTTTTATATGCATTCTAGTTATGTGTGTGTGTATTTTATTGGATATTTCCTTTAGATTTCAGTAATTCAATTTCATTCTGCCATCTTGTGACAAATTATTTTTCTTGTAATTACAAAACTCTTTTGTAAATACAAAATTTTCAGGTTATTTTATGTCTTAAAAATATGTTGGTGTCGATACTGTGGCATAATAGACTAAGCATTGGCCTGCAGTACCAGCATCTCATATAGGCACAGGCTTGTGTCCTAACTGCTCCTCTTCTGATCCAGCTTCCTGCTTATGGCCTGGGAAAGCAGTGGAATATGTCCCTGGAGCTTGTGCCACTGCACCTGCCTGGAAGACCCAGAAGAAGCTCCTGGCTCCCGGCTTTGGATTGCCCCTGTTTGAGTCAATGCAGCAATTTAGGAAGTAAACCAGAGGACCTCTCTGTGTGTCACTCCCTCTCTGTCTATCACTCTGCCTCTCAAATAAAAAAAATATGTCAGATAACTGGGGCAAGCATTTGTCACTGCAGGAGGGACAACACTTGGGGTGCCCTGCTTCCTGTATTTGGAGTACCTGGGTTTGAGACAGATCTAGGTCCTGATTTCAGCTTCTTACTTTATTGCAGTTGTGCCCCCTGGGAGGAAGCAAGTGATGGCAAAACCAGTTGGGCTCCTGTTTACCTCCATGTGTGATTTGCATTGTGTTTTTGGATCCTGGATTACACCTGGTGCAGCTCTGGCTATTGCTGCTTGCTGTTGGCATTTGCAGAGCCAATGTATCTCCCTCTCTCTCTCTCTCTTGCTTTCAAATAAATATATATATATTTTTTTAATCTAGTGAGGCCGGCGCTGTGGTGCAGTGGGTTAACGCCCTGGCCTGAAGCGCCGGCATCTCATATGGGCGCTGGTTTGAGACCCGGCTGCTCTACTTCTCATCCAGATTTCTGCTATGGCCTGAGAAAGCAGTAGAAGATGGCCCAAGTCCTTGGGCCCTTGCACCCACGTGGGAGACCCAGAAGAAGCTCCTGGCTCCTGGCTTTGGATGGGTGCAGCTCCGGTCATTGTAGCCAGTTGGGGAGTGAACCATCAGATGGAAGGCCTTTCTCTTTCTCTCTGCCTCTCTTCTCTCTGTGTAACTCTGACATTCAAATAAATAAATAAAAATCTTAAAAAAAAATCTAGTGATTAAATTTTTAAAATTATTCAAAGTCAAGCAAACTAAAAATTCTGGGTAGCAATTTAATGCTACATCATTCTAAAATTACATTTCTACTCAGATGTGAATGTTAGTCTGACAGCTTCATCTCAGGTTCTTTGATTTTGGAAAGCTGACATTGTCTAGGACAAGGGGATGACTTATTCTTCCATTCCCTTTTCCACTTAAATTACAGTTTTGCGATCATGTGTATTAAGTGCATTTCCTCTTTTTTTCACTGTTAATAATCTAATGTCATAGTAAATGTGATTACTGAACTATTTGAAAATTCTTAATTATAATGTGGCCCAGAATTAATACTTAATTATTTTTTAATTTCACAGAAATGGAAATCCAGCACATCAAAACATTGTGTAGGCATCTGACAATCTGAAAATATATGAATGTCAGTATTTAAAGAAAACCTTTGTGTCTCTTGATTAGCAGTCAATCTGAACTGAGATATAGAAAGAAGTGTCTCAGTGACTTTGTATCTTCCATTTGCAAGTATGTGCTGTTTACAAGTCAAGTGCTGGTGAGGAAAAAAAAATGAAAATTAACTATAAATTGAAATTCAGCCCCACATAGGAGTTTAAGACTTTCTTGTCTTGAAGCATATTCTAAGGCATTTCAATTTACAGCTTGTATGCTTTCTTTATAAAGTCCTGGATCCTTTAAATTTGTTATCATGGTGTTTTCATTTTAAGATCTGTATAATCAGCAACATCTTTGCTCTGTAAGGGGAAAGTAAAATCTCATTGCACCAGTGTCATTTTTTGATGTAGTTTTCTGGAACAAAAAAAGACCAAGCATCAAGGATGAAATTATGCTGTTGTTGAGCCTCTAATTTTTCTATGAATGAATTGAAAAGTAAGCAAAGGGTGAGGGGAATGTGCCATATGCTCTTTTTCCAGAGCAGTGTGTCTTAACAACATATCAGAAGTCACCTTTAAATGCTGACTACAAAGAAACCTCCAGTTGCTTATTCTGCAGAGGCAATTTTTGCTTTCTTTTTGCTGAGCTGTCAAAAGGAGAATATCTAAAAATAATTATTTCTGCCAGTTGAGTAATTAATGATGGCTCTAACTAATGACAGTGTCATTGAATGGCATTAGACAAGATGAGTTAGATATTTATTAAATGGTATTTCAGTGTTTCAAAGACTCAATGAATACCCCATGAAGAGTGGTGATGCTAAATTAAGAAAAAAATGTGCTTTTTTTAAACCTTTCATGTCTACAAGAAATGTGTGGTAAATATAAGCACTTCTCTATGACAATCAATAAGTTAATAGATATTACCTTGCTTTGCTATTACATATTCCATGCCTAAAGTTATCACAGAATGCAAATTAATGAATAATTATTCTTGGTGGTAAAGTTATCATCGAGTGCAAATTAATGAATATGCGTTCTTATTGATAGCCTTAAGCTGTTTGTTCTGGAATATCTTATGTACTATAACTCTTTCAGGAATCTCTGTTGTTTCCCTTTTCTCTACTTCCCTGGCTTGCATCAAACTTGGCAGTAATAAAGGATATAAGGCTTTTGTTTGTTAGCAAACTAATTGACCGGGCTCCCTGGTATCCCTATTCCCAATTACGACTAAAGGTGCATAAAAAATGAATTTTAAGAAAACTCAGTCTCGGGCCGGTGTTGTGATGCTGCATGCTAAGTCGCCATTTGCAATGCCAGCATCCTATATGACCATGCTGGTTCAAGTCCTGGTTCCTCCGCTTCTTTCTAGATCCCTGCTAATGTGTATGGAAAACACAGTGGAGGATGACCTGAGTACCTGGATCTTTGCCACCCATGTGGGACTTCTGCATTGCAGGTCAGGTTCCTGGCTTTGGCCTTTCCCAACCCTGCTTATTGGGGCCATCTGGGGTATGAACCAATGGACAAAAAACGTCTGTGTGTGTGTATGTGTGTGTGTTGTGTGTGTGTATGTGTGTAATACTCCTTCTCTGTCACTCTATTTCAAATAAAAATAAATTAAAAAATTAAAAACAGTCTGAACACAGAATCTAGATTACTAGAGGCTGGGAAGAGTGAGAAACATAGGAGTCTGGCTATAAAAATTAAGGGAAGTTGGTTGTGCTTCATTAGCTATGACAAATGTACCAATATGGGATGTTAATAAAGGGGAAAGTGAGTTATAGAGATATGTGGGACTTTTTATATTTCTACTTCCCAATTTTTGTTGAGTAAAATCAAAACTATTTTTAAGTAAATGTTTAAAAACCACATTTAAAGAAGAATTAATGGGGTATGTGGGGGTTTAGTCTGGGAACTAATAAACCTGCATTTGCTGTCAGAATACCTGAGTTCAATATCTCTTCTACAACATAGTACTTATTTCTCAGACCTCACTCAACTCTTATCACTTACACTGAATTTCTGGATTTTCCCAAACCCAGAAAAAATGTTTTCATTTGCTGTCTCCTTTATCAGGAACATTAAATCCTGAATGTCCTCTGGGCTCTCTCCATCTATGATGTCCTTCTAGTCCATCTTTGGCACATTTTCCATAAAGTCTGTCTTCACAACCCATTCAGTACCACATCCTTTTCCTATCCGCACAATGACTTTATTCTTTTTTTCTTTGCTCAACTTTTTCTTTTGATCCACTTTCTATAATACAACACATTTTCCTTTCTTATTCTGAACATTGTTTTCTTACATAGGCTGCTAGGATTCAAGCTCCTACAGAGCAGTGAAGCTTTCTGTTTTGGTTGCTGAACAGTAGGAATCATTTTAAACAATCAGCATTCTATAGATAGGACTTCCTGGCCAGCTGCATTTATTCCTGTCATTTGAATGTGAGTAGTCCTTTAGGAAAAGATTTTATTGATCCACTTGATAGTATGAATTATCACATGGGAGCCATTACCAGGCCGCATTTTCTCACAATTTGCTTATCTCCAGATTCCTATTATGACTCTCACTGCATCTCAGAGTTATAAGGAACAGTGGGGGAGGTTTACATATCTAAAGGTATTAATTATGCCATACATTTCTTTACTAATTTATTTAATTGAGAGAGAGATAAACATCTCTCTTTTGCTGGTGCACTCCCCAAATGTGTGTTAACTGTTGGGGCTGGGCCTGTCCAAACCAAGGAGCTTGAAATTCAATCAGGTCCTGCCAAGTGGGTGACAGGGACACAAGTTCATGAGACAGCACCTATTGTCTCCCAGGGTTCACATTAGCAGAAAGGCAGAATCAGAAGTGGACCCAGGACATCAACCCAGTCATTACAGTATGGAATACAGGCTTTCCAAGGAGTATGTAATCACTATGCCAAAGCTGACATCTCATCACATTGCATAATTTTGGAACACGTTCTTTGGGTAGATGCTTTCAATATAAAGTTATTTTTTACACTAAAGACTTCTCATTTAGAATTAATAATAGTATTCCTATACATACCCATATATAAAAAGGTTTCACTTTAATTTTTTAAAAGATTTAATTTATTTTTTTTTTTTTTTTGAATGAGAGTTACAGAGAGAGGTAGAGGCAGAGAGAGCGAGGACTTCCTTCTTTTGGTTCACTCCCCAAATGGCCTCAAAGACAAAAAGCTGGGCCGATCCGAAACCAGGAGCCAGGAGCTTCTTCCAGGTCTCCCACATGGGTGCAGGGACCCAAGGACTTTGCACCTCCTGCTGCTTTTCCAGGCACATTAGCAGGGAGCTGGATCAGAAATGGAGCAACCGGGCTTGAACCAGTGCCCATTTGGTATGCTGGTGCTGCGACCAGGACATTAACTCACTGTGCCACAGCACCAGAATTACTTTAATTTTAAAACTTGCATTTTATTATAATAACTTCAAAAAAAAGTTTAGAAAATTATGAACCCAATTTCCCTATACAAAGCAATAGTTAATGAAATGAGTAGCAACCGAAAATGATCAACAATGCATTTAAACATTTTCCTGCACCGGCGCTGCAGCTCACTAGGCTAATCCTCCGCATGTGGGCTGGCACCCTGGGATCTTGTCCTAGTTGGGGCGCCGGATTCTCTCCTGGTTGCTCTTCTTCCAGTCCAGCTCTCTGCTGTGGCCCGGGAGTGCAGTGGAGGATGGCTCAAGTGCTTGGGGCCTGCACCCGCATGGGAGACCAGGAGGATGCACCTGGCTCCTGGCTTCAAATCGGTTCAGCGCGCCGGCCACAGTGTGCCAGCGGTAGCAGCCATATGGGGGGTGAACTAACGGAAAAGGAAGACCTTTCTCTTTTTTTCTCTCTCTCTCTCACTGTCTATCTCTGCCTGTCAAAAAAAAATTTCTTGGAAATTTAGGATTTCAAAATGCAGTTAACAATTTTGCATAGCAATATTTGGCAAATTAGACACTATGTAATTCTAAACATGCACTAATTTTAATTTTGAGCTCAAATATATAGGCTATACGTTACATTAAGTAATGTGAAATTAACATAAAAGAAAGGCAATGGAGTTGTATCATTGTACTGTAAGAGCTGAATAAGGAATTGTGTTTAGAATCAATCTGTAGGCCACTGCAAGGGTCTTATGATATGAGCATCAGTGTTATAGAGCAACAGGTTCTAGTATCTTTTGAACTAACATAGTCATTAAATGTCATTCACAAGTGTAGCAAATCCTATTGGTAATGGTAGCTCACATTAGGCTGGGACAAAGGAAAAGCAGGTTGCACTTTTATGCACATTTTTGTTTTTTAAATAAAATTTCACCCTTTGACTTCTCACAGAACTCTGTCCTTCCACAAAACATGGGGTTGAGGACCAGGACTCTAGAATTTTGAGAAGAAAATAAACTTCAGCTGATCAGAGTGATCTTCTATACTTTATCTATTTGGATTAGATAAAAGGGCCCAATGAGGTGAGAAGAAATATATTAATTGCATTCTTTTAGGAAAAAAATATAGTTGGAAAGGAAAAATGGCCCAATGCTGCTGACACGGTAAGATGTGGAGTTACGACAGATAGCCAGTGTCTGGTTCTTTGACTTTTAAACCCAAGGCATTTGATTCTGCTGCAAAACTAGAAAGTTGGCCCAGTTGATTTTTCAAGTCTCCCTGTGCGAAACCAAAAATTATGATTTTATCATTCAAGTCACGTTTTGAATGTTCCATTACTCAGTAAATAAATGTGCAAAAAAGGATGAGAGAACTTCACATACTCATGTGACTTGATTCCGTGTCATTTACTCAGCGTACCTTTTAATCCACTGACACAAACTAGATAAAAAGTTTTAATGATTTACTTTATTGTTTCTGTAAATATTAATTCTAAAACACAATTACTTACAGGAGGCTTTTCCACCAAAATTGAACTCATTACCCTTTCTCTTTCAGACTTGTTTATGTCTTCCAAATAAGCTGGCAAGATTGTAAATGTGCATTACAATCTAAAAGAAGGGTAAGGAAAAAAAATTGCCAACATCAAGGTGAATCCATTGTCTTTGCTTCAAAGACAACACTAATATTCCCCTTATGGTTAATTTGCAGAGAAAACAAACACAAATCTTCAAAGGTCATACTTCAATGTTAAGATGGTTGAGCTCACAAATTATAAATATATGAACAAAAAAATATCATTTGTAAATGAATAAAAGTATGAGCCTTAGCACTCATATGCAGATTTTCTTATTTCTCGTTGAATTTCTTTTTACATTACCACTGTGATTTCTGTGTTAACATAGGAAAGGAAATATTTAGTGTTCACAGTAATTTATTTGCCAAGTAATTACAATACACTCTTTTATGAGAAAGCTTATCAATAACATTGGAAATATTATACCCCCTTTGGTCTAATTAGAAAATCTATAGAGCTTAGTCAATTGACTCACAACTAAGGGGATACAAACAAGAAAACACCAACAAAATTCCATTAATTTTTTCATTTTCCTTCTCTAGGACCTGTTATCTTAACTGAAAATACTGAACTTAAATTAAAAAATAAAACGAAATAAAAATGTTACATGGCAATAAGGTAAATAAGCATGTACTTTCTTTGAACCCAAACAAAATGTTTTTTTCATTGTCTCTGAGTCCTAAGTACATGCCAATTGCATTAGGGTAGCACTAGACTATTTCATGGCAATTAGCCAAACTGTAGAACTTAATATACACACAGCCTGCTTTGTATTTCAAAGACTGAGTTCAAATTAGATTGAGATTTTATTTAGATTCAAAATTTTCATATCTTCCTTTCAATCTATTAAATAGACATTCTTCTTCCTATTTCATACTTTAAATTCTTATTTGCTTTTAGCAGCCCCACTTGTTAAGAGAAAGTTAAGCATTATTTTAAGTGAATATGAGGTTTTTTCATCTATTGAAATTCAGTGAAAGTTTCTTTGGTTAAAGAATCTGGTAATCATGTTTATGATGAAATAGAGGTAAAGATATATCTCTATCTATGAAGAGGAAAAAACACAACTGCATGTGCCTCGTAGCGCAGCACAGGAAATAGATTGCTCATTTAAATGCAGTGATAATTCAAAAATATGACTTTTAGGAAACTGCCTGTCATATAGTAAAACTCAACAAATGTTAACTATTTTGATTATGTGTCTGTGTTCTCCACCAGCCAACTGGCCAAACTCATGAATTTCTAAGGAAATACACTGGATAGATTTCATTTCTATTTCCCCTTTCTTTCTTGTGATTACCATTCAAGGGAGAGCTAAGAAGACACAAAACTCTTATGGTCACTGAAAGACTTAAAAAAATTCACGGCACAGATAATTGACAAATATTGCTTATTCCAGTGAATTTTTGACCAACATCCACCCAGTCAGATTGGTAGAGTGAGCTTTGCACTTCACAGTTTCTTTCATTTTATGGCTAGTAGTATGCTTGGATCTCTTTCCTTGACATGATTTAAACTTCATAAAGTCAATGTGCATATGTTAGATTTTTGCATACCCCAAAATATAGTATAACTCTTCATAGATTTTTTGGCATGCAAAATAATGTGTTCATTGAACTTTTAAATGAAACTACAGAACTAATTGTTTTCTAAACAGCAATTTAGAGTAGGCTGGTTTGATTTAGTTTACTTTTTCTTTCTTTCAGTGTTGTGAAGACTAGTAGCTCAAGCAAATACTAGCAAGCAAGGTATTGATGACTGTCATGAGCCTTTGGAATAAAGGCTTGCTCTCATATTCTGTAGATTTCATTTTATTAGCAAGAGCAACCACCATTTCTTATATACCTTAAATATGTAGTGCCTTTCCTCAGTCTATTGGACTAACCCTATACGGAAGCACATCTCCTGCTCCTACTACTTATAATGCCAATTATAAGTGTCTGATAAAACAGTAAGCTTTTTCAAATAGAATAATGTTTTATAAAACTATTTGCAGCAACAACAAGCTCTTAAGCAACAATGGACAAAATAAATAGGAGAAAAAAATAAACCAACACATTAAAAAGGGAGATAGAAATAGAGGTGAAACTCAAGCTAAAGCAGATGCTATCCATCAAGAATCATGGATAAGGGTGTCAACTGCAGATGTAGTGATTGCCTCTGGCTTGTTTAATGCATGGGAGGGGTAAAAACCAGAGCCTTGGACTCAAACAAGCAAAACATTAGACCAAATCAGGATCAACATACTGTTACTGATCTTCTGTAAAAATATACTTCCTTGAAAAATTGTCCAATACATACAAAATTATTCAAAAAGTCTATTTTTCAGCCAAGGTAACCACCAAAAAGAAGCGTAGCTGTCTATGCAGAGCCAATAATTTCAGGTTAAGAAGGAGTAAGGATAAAATTTGTGGCGATATATCAAGAGCTGAGGTACTATCCAAATTCAAACCCCTCACAAAATGCAAAAGCCTGATCAAAAAATATAATTAAGATGCTTCTGTAGTTCTATTAGAAATAACAACAAAAGAGCCGGCGCCGTGGCTCAATAGGCTAATCCTCCACCTTGCGGCGCCGGCACACCGGGTTCTAGTCCCGGTTGGGGCGCCGGATTCTGTCCCGGTTGCCCCTCTTCCAGGCCAGCTCTCTGCTGTGGCCAGGGAGTGCAGTGGAGGATGGCCCAGGTGCTTGGGCCCTGCACCCCATGGGAGACCAGGAAAAGCACCTGGCTCCTGGCTCCTGCCATCGGATCAGCGCGGTGCGCCGGCTGCAGCGGCGGCCATTGGAGGGTGAACCAACGGCAAAGGAAGACCTGTCTCTCTCTCTCACTGTCCACTCTGCCTGTCCAAGAAAATATGACATAAAAAAAAGAAAAAAAACGAATACACCAAAGACTTAAGTAATCTCTCTTTCCCATTTACAGACCCACATAAAACCCAAGTAAAAAAAAAGCTCATAATAAAAAATTAAATATCATTTGAAGAAATATCACAACCTTATTCAGTTGGATACTTCATCTTTTGATTAGTCACCACTTTTTTTCTTATAATGAAAAGACTTCAAAGATTTGCTAAAAATTGACAAATGTAAACACCCAACTTACTGAATGAAGTGAAAAAGCAAAATTTACAAAGTGTATTCCTGCTTAAACACAACTACTAAATCTTGCTTTATAGTAATAATTACAAACATCATTAAATTAATTAATTATACTTCATGCCATTGCAAAATTATAATGATATCCAGGTGGGAACTGTTTCAATCTTTTTTTTTTTTGACAGGCAGAGTTAGACAGTGAGAGAGAGACAGAGAGAAAGGTCTTACTTTTTCCATCGGTTAACCTCCCAAATGGCCGCTGCAGCTGGCACGCTGCGCCGATCCGAAGCCAGGAGCCAGGTGCTTCCTCCTGGTTCCTGGTCTCCCATGCGGGTGCAGGGTACAAGCACTTGGGCCATTCTCACTGCCTTCTCAGGCCACAGCAGAGAGCTGGACTGGAAGAGGAGCAACCGGGACAGAATCCTGCTCCCCAACTGGTGCCAGCGCCGCAGGTGGAGGATTAGCCAAGTGAGCCGCGGCACCAACCTCGATATTTTGTCAAATACTGTGAGAAATGTAAAAATAATTTTAATCAAGTATATAACTATATTGAAAATGCTGTACTTTGACTCAAATAACATACTTTAAATGTGTCTTCTTAATGTAATGACATTAAGAATAAATTTATTTATCCTATCATTGCTCTGTGCATTTTTGGAATCCCTTTTTATAGCTGAATTCAAAAAATATATCAGCTTAATTTTAAAAATCCTTTATGGAATGATGAGTACAAAGGCAAGATTGCATCTATGCCTTCCCATTTTGCTAACTTTAGGATTTTTGTTTGTTTGTTTCCTTTCCCTCTGTATCTGTTTAATCATTAATTGTGCCTCTTTTAGAGTTAGATATTTTAATTAGAGCTGCATGGCTCTGCATATCAGAAAGATAAAGTCTGAGCTAGAATTTAAATTAAGTATCTGTAAATCCATCATAAATCTGCCTCAGTTTCATTTGTATGTTTCCAGCCTTCCCAAGGGCAGTATGTGAAGTAAGTCAATATCATGGCGTGTAATTGACTGATTGCTGTTAATTTGAAATATGTGAGTTTGAGGACTGCCTTTATATAAATTCATTAACATGCGATCCTTCACTCACAAATGATCAAGCTCTTGGTACATCACTAATAGCATATTTGCGTTGTGTTGTTTTTTTGTGGCCATGATGAATTTGGGTTGAACTATTATTCCAAACACTGCTGTATCCTTTTCCCTGTGGCTAATGGGCCATATCTGGTGTGGCAAGATTATAGACATTATACTCATCCTTAATGGGAGAAGAAAACTAAATAGCAATAAAATCTGTAACGTTGGCTTCAGTTACCAGAGACAAAGATGCATGAATTTATTATGGAACTACTATCAACTCAAGAAGTTGAGAGTTCTCTAGATAAGTTTCACCAAAAAAAAGAAAGAAAAATTCATATACACTTTAAGGGAGTTCTATATGTAGTATTGGCATTACAGGAAAACACAATGTAATTAATAATGTCAAATAAAACACTAATAAAATAAGAGCTGATTTACTTGAGAGGTGTGATGGAGAATGTTCCTTGGTCCCTGTAGCTGTTTATTCTGGTGCCTGTGTCATTGGGTATTCCTAGAACAAGGTTCAGGGACCCCTTCCCAAGGATCAGCACCAGCATTGTACAGACTGCTTCCCAGAGGCTTAGACATCAATCCAAGAGCTGTCAATCAATCCCACCTGCGAGATTGTACATACTAATGTCTCCTCTATTTCTCCAATTGGATAGGTAGTATTATATCCTACAATTTTATTACCTTTTTATCTTAATGTTTGTTTTTCTCTTTATCAATCCTCCAAATATCTGTTTAACCAATCTCCTATAAATTATCTATGCTTAAAAAGAAATAACCATTTCCTATTTTCTTATTTTTCTGGTCTTTCTGATAGACTAAATTAACTTTTCTGGAGTTCAGTAAATTCTAATTGAAATATTAAATAAAGGTTTTTCAATATAGGTGCTGGCATTGTGGTATAGCAGGTAAAGCTGCCCTGCTGAAATCTCTGCTAATGGTTTGGCAAAAGCCACAGAATGTGACCCAAGTGACTGGGATCCTGGCTCCT